CTTTCTAAATTGTCAGCTGTGCCATGTGTGCCCGGCATCAGCCAGGAAACATGTGGAGACCAGGAGCTCATCTTGTGTGGGGCTCACAGACCAGTGAGCTTTATTAGAAGTCACACTGATTTGCCAGATTTCAGGTTGTACTACAAAGCTGTGGTCATCAAGACAGTGTGGTACTGGCACAAAAACAGACATATAGATCAATGGAACAGAATAGAGAACCCAGAAGTGGACCCTGAACTTTATGGTCACCTAATATACGATAAAGGAGGAAAGACGATCCATTGGAAGAAAGACAGTCTCTTCAATAAATGGTGCTGGGAAAATTGGACATCCACATGCAGAAGAATGAAACTGGACCACTCTCTTGCACCATACACAAAGATAAACTCAAAATAGATGAAAGATCTAAATGTGAGACAAGATTCCATCAAAATCCCAGAGGAGAACTCAGGCAACACCCTTTTTGAACTTGGCCACAGTAACCGGAGAGGGACAAACAGTGTATGTTCTCATTCATTTGGGGAATATGAATAATAGTGAGGGGGAATATGGGGGAAGGGAGAAGAAATGTGTGAGAAATATCAGAAAGGGAGACAGAACATAAAGACTTCTAACTCTGGGAAATGAACTAGGGGTGGTGGAGGGGGAGGAGGGCGGGGGGTGGGGGTGAATGGGTGACGGGCACTGAGGGGGACACTTGACGGGATGAGCACTGGGTGTTATTCTGTATGTTGGTAAATTGAACACCAATAAAAATTAATTTATAAAATAAAAAAAAAATAAAGCTGCATGAGAAAAAAAAAAAAAGAAGTCACACTGATTACCATGCAGAGCCATTTGCTGGTCAGCTGGTGTCCCAGGTGTCTGTTCTCTTTAATTGATGTGATAACAGACGCTGCGTGAGTACTTTCTAGGAAAATAGCAAAACGGCATAAGAAAAAGTGATTTCCTATTTTGCTATTCCCTTGACTGCTTCAATTTCTTCTTTCACAATTGCCCGAGATTGGTCAACTGAAGCATCTTTGTTAGAAAAATCTTTCAGCCTTTGCTTTGGAAGCACGTGTGGGAAACACAGTCTTTAAAGCCTGGGGTATGGGCACCCACACTTGACCTGGCACTCCCTGGAGCAGTGGAGTGGAGGGAACTCCAGAGGCTCTCGTCTCCCTGAAGTGGGAGGTGTTTCTTGGGCTTCCTCTTAGCCTGTATGTGGAGGGACAAGTTGGCTCCTATAGGCTTCCTCTTCAATTATTCCTCTTGGCTTTCTCAGCCAGGATAATAGGCTAGAAGGGATCCAATTGAGGCTGAGCGGAGGTTTCTAATTCTCGCCCACAGCAATTGAGGACTTTGAATCCTTCCAGGTGGGAGCTGTACACAAAGATGTCTTAGTGGTAGAAGGGTGAGGGCGCATTTGATGCTCCACTAGTGATTAGCCTACGCTAACAGTTCCTACTCTTTACTCCAGAAGGTGGCGGGTGAGAAAGTAGTCTCTCGGGCACTTGCTTTTTCTGGGGGTCTTTGAAGTGTGGACCTGCAGACCCTTCGAGCAGGGCCAAGCTCAGGTGGTCACGAGGGTCTGTTCAGGCCTGTCTCACAAGCATATCTGTGTTCACTGTCATGTACACAGCTACAAGAGGCCCTTTGTGGGGCTGAGATGCTGTCACTAGGGCAAGAATATCTCTGTTGGAGTCATCCCTCAGTGGAGACCGCTGTGCGCAGCTCAGCTAATATTCAGGGCTGGTGGCTGTGAATTCTGCATCTGTGGAACTGAGCTTTACATCCGTTTATAAAAACCACAGCATTTAGGGGAATACCCTTTGTCTTTAATTTCCACATTGATGTGGTAAGCTATTTCCGTATGTGCTGGCTATGCATTATTCTACAAGCGTCCGTTATGGCAGACAGTAACATGTACATTTGCATTTGAAGCCAGTCTGGCCTTGCAGATGTGCTGAAAGGCTCACACAGGACAAGGGAGGCTCATTTCTCTAGAAGGTCCCTGTTCAGAGCCCTGGCCCATTCATCCCTGGCCGGGCTGAATCGGCCCTGTGGCAGTGCAGCCAAGTCCCAGCTTTTCCTGCCAAGATGGGGCTCACTTTTTAGAGCACTCTTTTCGGGGTGTGGGATGGGATATAGGTCTTCTTTATGTACTCCCCATTTCCCTTTGGTAGCGAATGAAGGACATCGAATGTGCAGTGTTATAGAGGGTTCTATGAAGCGAGCATCAGAGATTATCGGGAAAGACGCTGGGAACAGGTAGCCCGTGTGGATAAGGACCTGATATGGGGGAGCCAAATTCACCTGAGAAGAGTCCTCCAGAATTGTCCCCCAAAACTGTGCGGCTTCTTTCGTTTCCAACAATCTGGGTACTGACGTTTTTGCTTCTATAGTACGAGAAAGCCCAAACCTAAGCACTGCTATTGACATAGGTGAGGCTTACACTTAAAAAATGTACTTTTTTCTTGCTATATTGTTAATAAATCAGATTATTAAGGTGTACTTGATACTCTTACCACCTAGCCTTTTTTTTTTTGGCATATTTGTTTATTTCTCAATTTGTGAAAATGTCCTTAATTTGTTGATGTAGCAAACAAATTTCGACTCTGATTGCTATGCAAAAAAACAGAAGATAATCTGCTTTGCAATGAACTTTAAAGTTCAACTGCACACAGGCAACATGCTATATATGAAAAAATTACTGAACTACAGGTTCGTATGTATGTAAATACTGAAAAAAGTTAACAGTTTATTATAATTTATTTTATTTAGCAATCTAGGAAGTTCGCAGCCATCAGCAGTTTCAGTGCAATTTCAGGTACAGTTGGGAATTCAGGAATCTCTGTGGAGCTGTTAGTGTAGCGAACCTTGTGGGTAAAATACATGCATACTTTTGATAGCACATGTGAAGGGATCTCTCTAAAATTGACTTAATTAGTTTCGTTCTCAGCAAACTGACCTGGGCCACTCAACATGGCTTTTATTGTTCCGGATGTTTTTCTTTCTTTCTTTCTTTCTTTCTTTCTTTCTTTCTTTCTTTCTTTCTTTCTTTCTTTCTTTCTTTCTTCTTTCTTTCTTTCGTTCTTTCTTTCTTTCTTTCTTTCTTCTTTCTTTCGTTCTTTCTTTTTTTTTTTTCTTTTTTTGATCTTCAACTTGTTCATGTAGCTTAGAATAGATGTGAGGCAACTGATTGTTGGCTTCTTCTTTTTTTTTTTTTTTTTTTGTCTGGTTCTTTAAGTTGACAGTAAATCATAGCACATACACAGTGCTTCATGACCGAGGACTGTTCCAAATGAACTCTTATAGCTGTATGTTTTGTGGTTTCTTTAAAAAAAAAATAAATTGTGTAAGAGAGCATTGCCTTTTACAGTCTCCTGCTCTGCCCTGTGCTCTGACCCTCGCAGCCTTGTCTGGTCATTCTGTGACTCTGACTATATCTAGTCCTCTTTTCCTGTTTTTTGTTCATGGTGGCCAGAGCCCAGCCAACTAGAAACCTTGTCTTTTTAGGAATTATTCCTGACCTTTTATTTTCTCCCAAAGAAGCAATCCTAAGAAGCAAGTGGAGATTGGAGTTTTAGGCAGAAGCAGCTTTTGGGTGGGCGAGTCTTGGTGGTTGGGTTTGCTGGAATGGACATAATGAAAGAAGGAAGACAACCGATACACAATTAGAGCATCTTAAACAACTACCCATCCGCCACGAAATTGAATTCTCCATCTGTCTGTCTGTCTGTCCCTCCCCATCTGCGCTGCTTCCATGCTTCTCTCTCTCTGGTGGGTGTTTGCCAGCTGCTCTGCCAAACTTTGAGGATGGTTGTAATGGTGAGAAGACACACTTGGACTCTCCTCAAGGAGCCTGGCAAGATCTACTGGCGGGGGGTGGGGGTGGGGGCCTGTGGCAGTGGTGGTGGTGCTGACCCAGCCTGGGTGGGGAGGGCAGTCCCAGAGGACCAGGGCAGAGGAGCTGAGCTCAGAACCAAGGAGTTGCTGGATGAGCTGAGGGGATGGCTTGAACAAGGCCCAGGGTGAAGATGGAATGTGGAACCATCTGAGGCAGTGGGGCCCAGCTCTGAGAATTTCAAAGAAGCTGTGGACCCTCTCCTGGGGTGGAGGCTGAGGTGGCCACATGCTCCCAAAGCTTTATGTCTGGTTTCTGGAGACACCTACACTCCCTAATACACAGAACATCCTGATGGCCATGTAAGCCCCCGAGTTTTTTGTATAGGGAGGGCCAGCGTGGTATAAGTATGAATGCAGAAAGACAGCCACCTTTCCTGGAGGTTTGTTACATCAGTTAGGAGTTTGCATCTCATCCCTTCAGTGAAACTGTCTTTCCAGGAGCTGCTTACAAGTGTTTACACTAGCTAAGCTTTTACAGCAAAACAACAACAACAACAAAAACCCAAAAACGTGTTTTTTCCAAGTCAATGCACAGTTCTACGTAGAAAACAAAAATTCTCAGGGTTGCTGCAGAAACATTTGGGCTTCATTTTCCATGGTCTTTACCACCATAGGATACAAAGTAAGATTCTTAAATGTTGTGGGAGTCTTGAGTGAAGTTCTTTGGTCCACAGATGCCCTTGTGCTTGTTTGAATGATATTCTTTGATCGAGTTTTTCAAGAGCAATACTTTTCATCTTGTAAAATAAATATGTGTGTGTATTTGTTTGTTTGTTTATTTATTTATTTTAGTTTCTCTCTTTGAAGCAGTGCAGCTCTGAAGCGAAGACTGAGGTTCTAATTCTCATGAGGCCAGACCTTCAGCTTGCTCCTGAAGGCCTTTTTCCTTGGCTGTGGCCGGCTGTATGGCTTATGTCACCATGAATCCATGTTTTCTGTAACTGGATTTTAACCTAGAAACATTTGCAGACCTTTTCTGTACAGTCCTATGTTGTTGGGCTGTTGCCATACCTCATGGGTGTGAGATGGGGACTGGGTGTGGTTTGACCAGGTCACCATGAGCATGAGCCTGTGCTTTGCATTTTAGTGACTTTGCCTTTCCCCCACAGCCACCTCCCCAAGGGTGTCCTCTGAGCTGGAGCAGGCCCGGCCCCAGACTAGTGGAGAAGAGGAGCTACAGCTGCAGCTGGCACTTGCCATGAGCAGAGAAGTAGCTGAGCAGGTTGGTGCCAGGCAGGTCTGACTGCTTGCTCGGGGGCTGGGGCCAGGTGGGGCCAGGTGGGGCATGGGTCACAGGGAGGATGGTGACAGACGCAGGCCCTATCCTCTGTTTCAAGATGTGACTCTGGGGATCCCTGGGTGGCGCAGTGGTTTGGCGCCTGCCTTTGGCCCAGGGCGCGATCCTGGAGACCCGGGATCGAATCCCACGTCGGGCTTCCGGTGCATGGAGCCTGCTTCTCCCTCTGCCTGTGTCTCTGCCTCTCTCTCTGTGACTATCATAAATAAATAAAAATTTAAAAAAAAAAAAAAAAAAAGATGTGACTCTGTGTTGCTGCAACTGTTCGTGCCACCCACTGCCCCCAGTCAGGGAGGGGGTCTTACACAGTTCCATTTGGGAAAGCCTTCTGTTGCCAGAAGATGAACTAGTCAGAAATGCCCCCCAGAAACACTTCTGTAGACACAGCCAAGTGTCCTGGTCTCCATGAATTAGCCCAGCTGTCCACAACCCCCCTCAGTGAAAGGCATGAGGGCCCTAGGTTGGGCTTAGTCCCTGGGGAAGGAGGTTTGGTAAGATGGATCAAGAGAATCTGAATGCCTGAAAACAAGGCTAGGAGGAAAAGTGGCAGGTAATAAGAGTGCTTATTATGTTTCGATGATGGAAATGTATATAGTTTTAATTTTCTTTCAGTTCCTGTTTTTCTCTAATCATGCATTACTTTAACATGGAGAAGGAGGGAAAGGTGTGTTGGAAATGACCTTTCAAAGCTGTCATCCTTCTGGTCCCAGTGATCAGGTCTGTCCCTGCTGACCTTGGGTTAGGGAGGGTAGACAGAGTCAGGGAGCATGAGGCTCTCTGTCGCCTACAAGTGATGTGCAGAGACAGATATTAAGGATAGTCTGACCGAAGGGCAAAGGTGGCTGTGCCAGCATGATTTGTTCACTAATAACTGGAAACCTCCTAAAGCTCAATTGTAGTGGACGGCTTCAGCTATAGCCCCTCTGTTCACAGTTGGAAAAGCCCAGACATTAAATGCCTCCCTGTGGATGCCTAGCTCTGTCCTGACAGCCTGGAAAGATGGTGCAGGAATACAGGGACAGATGGACACTTGGAGCCCATTTTAGTTAATAACTTATTTCTATGATTTATCATATTTTATAATAAATACAGTGAACTTATTTCTATTTCATTATTATGTAAAAGCTAGGACAACCCCGTATTCTGCATGTGGTGACTTTGCCTTAAATAAATATAAATCAAATACAGGTGACCCTTGAACAACACAAATTTTGGGGCTGTGAGGCTCCACTTATGTGTGGATTCTTTTCAATAAATACAGTGCTGTAAATATACTGCCTTTTTCTAATTTTCTTAACATTTTTTCTCTGGCTTACTTTATTATAAGAGCACGGCATAATAAACAATATGCAGTAAGCAATATATTTTTGTTCCAGTTAACAGTTGGCTCTTAGTAGTTAGATTTTTGAGGAGCCAAATTTATATGTGGATTTTTGACCATGGGGGTGGGGGGTGGTTAGTGCCCTTAACAAGGCCTGTGTTGTTGGAGGATCAACTGTATAATGAATCCTTTCTGTTTGAAGTCCTAGAAATAAACATACAATGATAGGTGTTTTTCACCCTCTTCCTAATACCTCTCTGGTCTGTCAGGCTTTTGTATTTTATAAGGAGAGATGTTGCTTCTATAATTAGAATTATAAAGCTATTTTCATTTTTTAATAAAGATTTTATTTATATGAGAGAGAGTGAGCAAGAGCACACAGAGGTAGAGAGAGAAGCTGACCCCCTGCTGAGCAGGGAGCCTGAGACTTGGGGCTCGATCCCAGGACGCCGGGATCATGACTTGAGCCACAGGCAGATGATTAACTGACTGAGCCACCTAGGTGCTCCTAAAGCCATTTTCATTTTGAGAAAAAAGCATTTTATTTTATTTTTAAAGATCTTATTTATTCATGAGACACAGAGGCAGAGACACAGGCAGAGGGAGAAGCAGGCTCCCTATGGGGAGCCCAGTGCAGAACTCCATCCTAGGACCTTGGGATCACAACCTGAGCCAATGGCAGGTGCTCAACCACTGAGCCACCCAGGCATCCAAAGAAAAAAGCGTTAAAAAATTTTTTTTTTAAGATTATTTATTTGTTCATGAGACACACACACACACACACACACAGAGGCAGAGACACAGGCAGAGGGAGAAGGTGGCTCGCAGGGAGCCTGACGTGGGACTCTATCCCGGGTCTCCAGGACCACACCCTGGGCTGAAGGCGGTGCTAAACCGGTGAGCCACCCAGGCTGCCCGAAAAAAGCATTTTAGAATAAGTGTTCCCTTTCCCCAACTTGGCAGTCCCCATGCCCTCATCTCCCTATTGGGACCCCCAAACCAGGGAAGCCATACAAGGTAGGTGGTGGGGAGAAGCCCTCTTGGCTCCACTTGCATCAGGATAGAAGAATAACTGTGTTTTACCAGTTGTTGTCTGATCTTCCCTTGTAATTACACATACTTCGATTTTGCGTGTCCTGTTCCTGGCCAGTGTTGCTCTGTTCTGCACAGTGATGCTATTACAGTCCCGTTGTTCTCTGCAGGAAGAACGCCTCAGGCGGGGGGATGACCTCCGACTACAGATGGCCCTAGAGGAAAGCCGAAGAGACACGGTTAAGGTTCCAAAAAAAAAAGAGGTAAGCACCTCACTGGGAAGGTCTGTGCTTAAGCCAGCCCCACAGTCGTTGCCTCACCCGCAGAGGATAGCGCCTTCTCATGTACTCCTGGGCCCGTGATGAGCATGAGTGAGGGGAGAACGAGTGAAAACAGTGCCTGTGCTCTTATTCCCAAGGCTCTCCCTAGACCAGCCTGGGAGAAGATGGGCACTGGAGAGGGGACTCTGTTGATGGGGCCTCAGTTTCCTCCCTTGTGAGGGAGCACAGTGGTAGCCATGCAGCTAGGTAACTGTTACAAAAGCCAAATGGCTGGTGCCTGGGAACAGGTTCCTGGCACGGGGTGAGGCCAGTAGTGCTGGTCTTCACTGCTGTCATCATCATTCCTATGTGCTAGGCTGCCTGCGTGGGTCCTGAAGTGACCAGGACATGGTTCCGCTCTCAGCAGGCTCATGCAGTCGGAAGACAGGCCCCCCTCTTGTCACAGGGCTGGGGGGTCCGGTGGTCTCCTGTGTTCTGGTGTCCAGCAACTCTGGTGGCCACAGGAGCAGGAGGGCAGGGCAGGTCCCCAGAGAGGGGGCCTTGATGGCTGCCAACTTCGGTGGGTGGGGACAGCATTCTGGAGGGAAGCTTCAGCCTCACCAAAGCCTGTGTTATCCTGGAAAGCCCTGAGGGCTGTTTGAAAGCAGGTGGGGCACCAGGCCCACATAGTTCGGTGTGGGTGGAACCTGGGCTGAAGTGGGAAGTGTTTGTTTGGGGTGGTAGGCCGGGTGGGGCAGGAGATGGGGCAGCTCCGTTTCCTCCCCACCCCACCCTCAGGGCTTCTTTTCCTAAGAGGCATGTACAGTATTTGGCTAATGCATGGATATTTGCTGTAACTGTAGCAAAGTAAAACCTGTTCTCTTCTTTTTTGTCTCAAAAGCATGGTTCCCACCCACAGCAGACCACTCTGTTGGACTTAATGGACGCCCTCCCCAGCTCCGGCCCTGCTGCCCAGAAAGCAGAGCCCTGGGGCCGATCAGCCTCAGCTAACCAGACAAACCCCTGGGGCGGGCCGGTGGCCCCAGCCAGCACTTCAGACCCGTGGCCACCATTTGGTAAATACCCACCTCATTTTTCTCCTGTGCCTGCCTGGTAGATGTATGAAGGGCCATAGGGCCCAGCTTCCTGCTCTCTCTCACCTGGTGGATGTGGGAGTGGGGCAGGTCCTTGGTGGTGGGTGTCCAGGCTTCTCCCGTCCCCAGCTGTCCTGTCCAGTCAGGTCCTCTGGAGAACTGGGGTACAGGGCTCTCGTTCTGTTTTGAATGGTTTTCTGCTTTGGTAGAGGGAAAGCTGACTTCCTCTCTTCTTCCCACATGGGGACATGTGTCAAGTCTCTGGGCCTCAGAATTGCCCCCGGCACCCCAGGTTAAGAAACTGTAATACACAGCATGAAACCTCTAAGTCAGGTTGCTATGATATATAGCCGGAAATTAGGATGTGCTTACTATGATTTGCTAATGAAAGGAGGATACATTTGCTGTAATTTTTCTTACTTGTGGCTTAAAGCAATAGTCTATTTACTAGGTTAAGTCAGTGTTTTAAAGTTCTGTTTAATGCCAATATAAGAGGATCTGTGCAGGAGATTTGAAACATGAGTGTGGCACAATCTGTTTACTCTGGGTAGAAATCTTGGGCATAGGGGGTTTTCTGATCGCTGGACACAGGGCTTGGCCTGCAGGCTCTGTGATGGCTTCCACCCCAGCCTGCCCCCTCTGGGTGCTTTGAGCCCTGTCAGCCACTTTGATCTGTCTAGGAACTTGTAATTCCTATTGTGGCAACTTGCCTGAATCTCTTTGCGGGGGTCTGTTTCCCCAAACTGGAACCATCTTTTGTATTCAGTTTGGTTCCCTGGATGTTTGCTGAAGCGTACCAAATGCCAGGCTCTGTCCTGCTATCCAGGGACCCAGACACAAACAGGTAATGGTCTTGCCTTCAAGGTCTTGGGCAGGTGTGGGCAAGATGGGAATACCAGCATCCTGGGATGGGGTTTAGTTCAGGTGGCTGGTGGGCATGAGGCAGGCATCTTGGAGGAATCTGTAATAAGGAAGAGCAGGTGACCAGGCCAAGAAGAGGAAAGGGTGTTCCCAGCAGAAGGCTTGGCTTGGGAGCCTGAGGGCATGCAGTGATTTGATGGGTGCAGAGACAGGCCATGGGGGGGGGGCGGGAAGCAGGGTCATGGGATCAGGGTTTGGCAGCCATGTCCAGAGGCCGTGTCAGTCCCAGATACATTTGGTGATGCTGTTGGCTTCAGGGACCTCGGCGGATCCCCAAACTCCCTTTGGCAGGAGTCCTCTGGACCTTGTGGCAAACTGCAGGCCAAATGGCCTACAGGTCTCGCTCACTAAATGCTAGTAGTAGAACAGTGGCCAGGGGCTTGGCGGTTCACATAGTCCGTGCCTGTGTGCTGTGGCCCCAGGGAGCTTGTAGGCTAAAGTCATGCTGAGCGTACAGGATGGGTAGCAAAGGCAATTCTTCGGGAAATGCTCTACTCAGGCTCCTTCCAGACAGTGGCTTTGATTTCAGTTGTTTTGTTGTTGTTATTGTTTTTAAAGATTTTATTTATTTATTCATGAGAGACAGAGAGAAACAGAGACACAGGCAGAGGGAGAAGTAGGCTCCCTGTGGGGAGCCCGATGAGGGACTCAATTCCAAGACCCCAGGATCACAACCTGAGCCAAAGCAAACGCTCAACTACTGAGCCACCCAGGTGCTCCTTTAACTTTAGTTTTAAGTCTGAAAAATAATTCCTCTGTAACATGATGGCCACCTTGAGTTGTGGGTAGGATGTTCTTCAGGAACACCCTTTTAACACCCTTTTAAAAGTTGTGTAATGGGTCGTTAAGCAGACAGGACATTTTTCTAGTACCCAGGAAAGAAAGCAGTCACCCTAGGAGTCAGGTTAGTTTAAGAAGATTGAATTATGCTGAATCAGTGGCTGATGGGAGGTGGTTAGGGTGGGGTCTGGGGGTGGAAGGGAGACAAATTTTCATTGTTTGACTTAATGTACTACGGGTATGTATTACCTGGTCAGGAGAGGGAATTTATGACTTTTCAGTGAACCAGGTTGCTCCTGCCTGCCTTTGGCTGGTAGACAGTAGTGTGCTTCAGAGTTGAGTGTCTTTTGTCTTCTCTCTCTTTTTTTTTTTTTTTTTTTGAAGATTTTATTTATTCGTTTGAGAAAGAGAGAGTGCACAGGTGGGGGTGGGACACACCACACACACACACACAGAAAAGCAGACTCTCTGCTGAGCAGGGAACTCAGTTGAGCAGGGAACCCTATGTGGGCTGGATCCCAGGACCCTGGGATCATGACCTGAGCTGAAGGCAGATACTTCACTGACTGAGCCCCCCAGGTGTCCGTCTGAGCTGGGTGTCTTGATTAATCCAGAGACTTGACCTCATAGGATGCTAGGGAGTCTCCTGGTGGGTGAAGCAGGACCACCTCCAGCACTTAGGGATCTCCCACACCTGCACAGAGCAGGGACTGGGAGCCAGTCAGAGGCTGGGGACATAGCCGAGGAGAGGCATCTGGGGCCCAGTGGCAGCTGACCATCACGTGGGAATGCTGCCTCCATGGGTCTGCTCTTCTAGTATTGTTGAACCAAGATAATTCACCACCTTAATCATTTTAAAGTGGACAGTTCAGTAGTTCTTAGCCATTCACAGTGTGTGCAAGCATCACTACTAATTCCAGGACATTTCCATCATCCCAGAAAGAAACCCTGTTCCCATTAAGCAGTCACACCTCTTAACCTCTGCCTCCAGCCCTGGCCACCACCAGCCTGCTACTACATTCTGTCTCTGGATCTGCCTATTCTGGATATTTCACCTGTGGAATGAAATCAGACATTATGTGGCCTTTGTGACTGCTTTCCTTCACTTAGCATAATGTTTTCAAAGTTCATCCATGTAGTAGCATGTGCCCCTACTTTGTTCCCCCCCCCCTTTTTTTTTTGGCTGAATAATACTTCATTTTATAGATATACCACAGTTTGTTTAGCAGTTGATGGACCCTTTGGGTTGTTTTCACTTTTTGGCTGCTGTGAATCTAGTTTTTTAAAGAAAATTGAAACCTAAATTTTTGAAATCTGTTTTTAAGTCAGTGGATTTTAAAAATTGAGAACATGGTTGGGGCTGATTGAATATATCTACAGGTAGCCAGTGTGGTTCGTGGATCGCTAATTTGCCATCTCTTGCTTTGGTCCAACCCAGGCCCCTGTCCTTGGTTCTGATGCAATTGGCATTTTAACCAGTGGCCTAGGGAGAAAATGGGCCACCAAAGCCCAGAGAGGCCATTCACTCCTCTGGGATCACACAGCAAAATAGGGGTCAGTTCAGTACTTACTACTGCTCCTAATCCTGGAATTGTCAGGCCATCGTGGACTGCTGTGGAAGGCTTCTGTGGGCATGTCCTGGAAAAGTCGCCTCCAGTTCTAGCATTGAGAGGGAACCAGTGTTAACATGTTAGCTTATTGCTTCCTGTTTTTTCTGGGCTTTTATGTTTTTACACAGTTGAGGTCATCTTATACAGTCTTATAATATGTAGAGGTATTTCTGTTTGCAGTATGTGATGAGCATTTGCAGGTATCATTAGAAACTCTGAACAGTGTGGCTCCAGTGGGACAGCACAGGGCTGTCCCTGGAGGTAGGTCTGCAGTCCTAGTGCTCCGCTTTTCAATAACTGCAGGAGATGGCCTCAGACGCTCCTGAGCATGCTGGAGAATGGCAGCAGCCCCCTTGCTTTCATCTTCTGAGACTGCTCCAGAGCAAGATGTGGTGTCAGACTTACCAACTAGTTTCTAGTAAAACCCACTAGTGTGTGTTTTCTGAGTCACCCCATTGCCTGGAAACACGTTCTTAAATTTGAAGGATTTAGAGAGTCTCTGCCCAAGCACTGATAGTTGTGCCCTCCGGATGAAAGGAACACTGTTTTGAAAGTCACCGTTTGTAGCAAGCCCTGCCATCTCCAGTTCTTTCCAAGCAGTGCCAGGGGCCGCTTGGCCAAGGGGGCCTTGGGAGGAAGTTGCCGAGGGCTGAGAGGAGGGCAGTCGGAGCCCGCCAGGTCAGCAGGGCACTTCCTCCTCTGTTCCAGGCACACAAAGCAGCCACCTGGTACGAGAAGGGCCCACAGCCTGGTGATTCAGAAGGCCTTGGCTGACTCAGGCCCGCTCGCTGCCCGGACCAGGACAGAGGCTGTCTTCTGGCCCAGTGGCAGCAGGTGGTACTACTGGTTTCTGGGTGACCCTCGCCACTCAGTTCTGTGACCCCACAATGTGACTGCCCCCCTGTGCACATGAATATTCATATGTGAGCCTTCAGAGGAGCCAGGCTGGCGGGTGAGGGGCCCAGGGACACGTGCTCCCCATGAATGGGCCCACAGAGGAGGAGGCCGGAAGCTGCTTGATCTTTCTGCCCTGGGTTCCATCCTTTGCTCTCATTCACTTGTGCTTTCAACGAGCATTTATTTATTGGTTTGTGTCGTGGCCTGGGCCATGTCGAGGACGTGGAAGGACAGAGCACAGAGGAGCCTTGCAGCAAAGCTACTGTCCATTCATGGAGGAAGAAGATGTGCTGGGCCCCAGCGGCCGTGCTGTCACTGGGGGGCGTTTACTGGGGGGTCTGTCGTGTCAGCTCTGCTGCTGCCCGCTTTCCCACAGGCTAGCTTCTGTGGGCAGTCGGCACCCATGGGAAAGCAGAGGGCGCATTATGCGTCCGTCCCCCAGGCAGGTTTGAGGGGAGTGAGGTGTCACAGTACGTGGCCTGCTGTGACTCCTGACCCACAGCGGAGCAAAAAGTGTCCACACGGTGTCCTGAATGCACATAGGTCCCCAGCTGCTACTTGTGGACTGGAAACCCAATGGAGCTCACTGAGGCTGAGCTGCTTATCCGTGGCTGTCTGGGTGATTGGCCAGGATTTGAGCCAGGGACATCTTTCATTCCACATCCAGAACTCTCTGAGCTGTGACTGTGCTGTGTGTGTAAGCATGGCAGCACCGGGGCAGGGTGTTCTTTCCGGGCCAGAGGGTGTTGATGTCAGTGTTAGGCATGCTAGTTT